ACGCTGCTGCTGTCTCCCAGTCAGGGGAGGAAGGAGAATAAAGTCACTCTAGAAACTGTCGTGACTGTGCATGGGCCAGTGGCTGCCTAACAGGCCTGGGGGGCTCCCTTTTCTGTTCGGATCTCTGGCAGATGCTGGGCCAGGCGGGCCTGTGACACAGACAGCCCAGGAGCCAGAGAGCTCCCTGGTTTTAGGATTCCTTGTTGCTCCAATGGCCAATTTCTCTGGAAATGACATTATGCCATTTTCATGGGAAGTCACCCGACCCAAGAACAGGCCTCCACACAGACACTAAACTCTATAAAACTGTGGTTCAGCTCGCAGCCTGATTACTGGTGTCCTCTGGCTTAAAAACCAAAACAGAACGTGCAAGGCAGCAGAGCCGTGCCCCTCACTAGGAATTCTTACTGGGGAGCTGTTGAAGCCGGAGAGAGAGGGAAAAGGAGTTTGATGAAGAAGTTCTGCTCCTCACCACCATTTTGTCTTTTCTTCTTTTTCTATTCCTCTTTTCCTCTAACATGGAGCTGCCAACTCCAGCCCATCTATCTTTTTCCGATTAAGAAAGCTTCTAGCCGTATAAGGTCCTCTGTTGCCTATGGTTTATGTTGGCTGGAGACCGAGGTTGTTTTTGCAAAGTCTGATTCAAAGAAGTGGCAAGGGTGTGTGCACGCATCCATTCCCATCTGCTCCCGGGGGGCTGGACTGCCTTCTTGGAACAGATTCTTTGGGGGAGGGGGGGGCGGGTGCGCAGGGGGAGAGTCTGGGCCTAGCGGTGGCTCTCAGGCTAATGAGTGGTGTGACCTCAGGGCTTCCTGGCAGATGCATTAGCTGAGAACTCCGATAGAAAGTGAGCCCCTACTGGACTCACGCAGTGTGTACCTCTGTGCTGCCAGCCACAGAGGCACCCTGTCTCTGAAATAGATTTGAGGATCCGCTTCTATTTATTAAGAAACTACAGGGGCACCTGGATGGCTCAACTGGAAGGGAGTGTGACTCTGGATCTTGAGGTTGTGAGTTTGAGCCCCATGTTGGATGTAGAGATTACTTAAGTAAATACAATTTTAAAAATAAAATTCAAAACTGCATCACTCAAAAAGAAAAAACAAAAGAAGTTACTGCTCCTTGGCTCCCTGGGCGAGCTGGTTCCCCTCTCTAGAGAAAGTTCAGCACGCCGGTTTCCTCCAGGTTCTTGACCTTCGGCACAGCTTCTGCTCAGTGATGGCAGAGAGCGATTTCTCTGGTAGCAGCCCTCTGACCTCATCTTCACCTTCCCTTCTTGCTGTTACTTGAGTCAGCCAGGTTTGTTCCTGCCTTAGTACTCTGGCACATGTTCTCCCTGCCTGGAACTTTCTCTGCCTCTCCTTTTTGTCCTCCCAGACCTTGGCACGGCTGCCCCCTTGCTGTTCCAGCACCCTTGCTACCTCTTCGGAGAGGCATGCCCTGACCCTTCTGCTTAGAGCTCCCTCTCTTTCAGGTACATTTCACCCAGCCTTTCTCAACCTGGGTCCCTTATATAAACTACAGAACACAGAACATGACTTTCTCAACTGTCTCCCAGCTAGTCCCCTTCCAGATGCATACGTTAATTCATTATGTACAGGGGATGCTTGGGGTCCCTTCTCTGATGCCCTTGAGAGATGCTGCAGTTTTATCCCATTGGGTTGCTGCATCTTTGTAGTGTCTTATCTGAAATGTGACTCCTTGCCTCTCCTTCCACCTTTGCTTTCTGAGGGCTCTTTCCACCACCTCCCCCTGCCCCCTCTCCTATGGAACTTGGCTTATGGTAGGAATTAAAATCTTCATTAAATGGTTAGCCCTGGGTCACCTGGGTGGCTCAGTTGGTTAAGCATCAGACTCTTGATTTCAGCTCAAGTCAGGATCTCACAGTTGGTGAGATCAAGACCTGTGTCAGGCTCTGCGCTGATATCAGGGAGCCTGCTAGTGATTTACTCCACCCCCCCACCCCACCCTGCCCATCTGCATGCGCTCGCTCGCGCTCTCGCTCTCGCTCTCTCTCCCTCTCCCTCCCCAAAAATGAATGAACGGTTGACCAGCCCTGAGGGGTCTTGCTGCCTGCTGCCTGCTAGACCTCAGTTGGGTGGGGAGAGCAGATGCCGTGGGGCGGGGGGACGGGGGGTGGAGGGGGAGAGGCTTACTGTCAGTTGTCGTCAGTTGTCGTCAGTTGTCAGTTGTCGTCAGTCGTTGTTACCCCTGTTATGTCAGCAGGGCCGTTAGGGGTCTCTGAAGCAGAATGGGTATCAAGTATGGGCAAATCAAAGCATTATAAGTTTATACATAGATGAGTTGACCCTGCACATTTGTTCTGCTGCTTAACAAGAATCCTAAAGCTCTGTGGTAATACAGCATCCCTTGCTCTCTAACAGTGAAGAATGTATTTTTTGTGTTATCAAGGCATTACTTGTAGAAAGATCTGACTTTTAACTCTACACAAGGTTTGAAAGAGCAGCCCTTTGCCCCAAGTGCTTCCTGACCTGCCCTCTTGTCCAGAGGCAGCGGCCCTCGATTCTTCTAGCTGTCTTCCCCACCATTTACGTCTGTATTTCTAAATGGTGTCCTTTTCCTTTCCTTTCCCTCCCTCCCTCCCTCCCTTCCTTCCTTCCATTTTTAAAAATATTATTTGACTTGGTTTTCTACTCTGGAAGGCAAGGACTTGGCTCATTCCTGCACTTTTTTTCTCTCCTCGTCTTGGTATAGAGGTAGCACAACTTCTAGTCAAGTGTCCATTCAGAGTGTACATTATGACACAAGTATTGCTTATGACAGCGAAGTTCTTGGTGTTCATATTTCCTTTCTTGTGTCCTCCCTGGCCCTTGTAATTTGCTGTGTTTCTTGAGCTTCATTTTTTGTCTCCCCAGTTCTCTGACCCTTCAAGGGCCTTGGCCCTTGCTGCCAGAGCACCTCTTCGAGCTTCAGCATACCAGGTTCTCCACTGGTTAGTGTTGCTCCTGGGAAGCACCTGTCCCCGGCTCTGCTTCCCCTTTATCCTGGGAATCCATTCTTCCCTTTGGTTGTGTTGCTTTGCGGGTGGGTGCCCCCTCCTTTCTTGATTTACTCCCTTGTCTTTCAGTAGCTTGCTGAGGAAAAGTGGGGGAGAGTAGGCAGCCGGCAAGGAGGAAGCTGGTTGATGCACAAGTCCCTTAGAAGGCATGGATTTGGGGTGTGGCTGGAGATGCGATAGTTGGTAGAAAGTCTGCAAAGACTGCACGGCGCCCAGACCCCTTCCCCCATGCCAGCAGCAGATCTATTCCATAGAAGAATGCAGCCAGAAGGGGTTCTGGATTTGGGCATCATGTAATGATGAAAATGGGTATTGAATGAAAGTTGGCGTACTGAATGGGACAACCGAGGCCCCCTGGGCTCTCACAGCGCTGGCATTCAGGCTTCTAACCTGTCATCTCCCACCCCAGGATATCAGAGCATTCCAATCTGTGGGAACTGGCAGCCTGATTCCTGTTTGTCGCCCAGCCAGGATACTTGCCTGACCCTTGGACTAAGGTCGTCACTTGGTTAGTGGCAGAGTGTAGCAGCAACAGGCCCATTGAAGAAGAAGGTTACTGTTTTGTTTTGTTTTGTTTTTTCTTTTCTCAAAAGAAACTGTGAAAGACTTGAAAATGCCTCAAAAGTGCATTTGTCTGATTCATTTCGGTTTCATTTCTGTATCCCACTGCGCTTTGTACCTTGTGGCTGCCTGTAAATCCTTGTTGAATAGAAATGCCCTTAGGCCTTTATATGATTTCTGAGTTGGTCGTATTCTACTGTCTGCCGTTTGGAAAATCTGTGTCTTACCTGTTGCTCTGCCTACCTGACTGAGGCACTGGTGTGAAAGGCCTCACACCATCTTTTGTGTTCCTTTTTTTTTTTTTTAAGTTTTTAAAATATTTTGTTTATTTTTGAGAGAGAGAGAGAGCAAGCGTGCGCGCATAAGCTGAGAGGGTTAGACAGAGGGAGACAACCTGAAGCAGGCTCCAGGCTCCAAGCTGTCAGCACAGAGCCCGACGTGGGGTTCGAACTCCCAAACCGCAAGATCATGACCTGAGTCGAGGCTGGTTGCTTAACCGACTGAGCCTTCTAAGTGTCCCTTTTCCTTTTGAAGGCATGCCATTTCTGTTAGCTGTTTTGAGTCAGCTTGTTGTCAGAGCACAGCTTCATACCTTCTGGGCAGTCTTGGGTAGGGTTCTGTGGTCACGGGCAGCAGTTCTGGGTACCCAGGAACACTTCCCTGGCACCTCCTTTATCACTGTCCTCAGAAATGTCAGAAGTTTCTGGTAAGGCAAGCTGGTTGCCAAGAGCTGGGGACGAGGGGCAGGGTGGACGTAGCATAGTCGTTATTAAAGTTTTTGAAAACCACATTCTTCCCACATGAAGCAATGTGAAGACCTTTGTAGAAAATACTCCCGCCCCCCCCCCCCGCCCCCTTATCATTTGGAGTCTAATGGGACTGGACCTGTCAGGTGTGTTTGGTCAGCAGCAGGAGGGAGACTGGGCCTTTCACTTTTGTGTGGAGTTCATAGTTTTTTGGGTTTTTTAACCAAGTTTTTCAAATTGGGAGTTTCTTTAATTTGTAATTGACCAGCTCTTAATCTGAGATGATATCCGGAGATAGGATTTTTCATTCCTGGCTCTTACCTGGTGCCAGTGAGATTTGGCTCTGGGTCTCCAGACCCAGAGACCCAGAGACCCAGAGACCCGGAGACCCAGCTGGAGAAGGCTTCACTGAGCAGGTTCTCCCGCCCAGATGGGACTGGGCTAATAAGCCTCCAGTTTCCTGGAGGGCAGCCCGGGAAGTGGCCCATGACTTTTGGACAGCTGGTCTACCTAGAACAGGGAGTGGGGTTGGTCTGGCCACAGTGGCTCACCTGGCTGCTCTGTGGGGCCATCACAATGAAGGGTGTGGGGGACAGCGCAGGGCAGGACCTCAGAGCCCCACTGTGAGCTAATTTGCAATCTTTAGGGTGCCAACATGAGTCACAGCTCACACAGGCCCCTACGGACCAAGGTAACAACCCTTTGAACATCAGGGCTGGGCTGAGATCAACATCCCTGAGGCATGGCCCCGGCACTCTGACCTCTGGGCCCCAGCCATGCTGCTGAGGGCGAGTGGCCCAGCCTACCACCACCCCCCAACCTTCAGCGGCAGCACCAGACACTGCCCATCAAGGTAGGCATTGGCTGTCACAGCATTTATCCAGCTCTTGTGTTTGCTTCGGGGATTCTGGGAATACCCTGTAGGACTGCGCATCCTGTAGGCAGCTACTGGCTACCTGTATGTGGCTATTTAAGCTGAAGTTAATATTAAGTAAAATTTAAAATTCAGTTCATTATGTTGACCATATTTCAAGTGCTCAGCCCCATGTGACAAAGTAGCTGCCAGCACTGGACTGTAGTTGTCACTTGGGGATTGCCCAGGCCTTTGCCTTTTGTGACCTGCTCTGCTTTGGCCATGTTGCAGCTGCTGCAACTTGTTCCCATTGCCTTGACAGTAAAGGTCAGCCTCCTTTTGTCTGATCTCTACCAGCTCTTTGCTCCAGCTTCCAGGACTTCTGCTCTCTCTGGGACTTGCTGTTCCTTTCCACCCCCAGAGGCATCGTGGGTTTAGAATCTTAATTTATGTCATTAATGCACTGTTGCAGCCTTAGAAAATTCTGGTTGCCTTTGGGATAGCCTTCTTTGGGTTCTGTTTGCCCACTTCTGAAATTGGGCTCAGAACGTGCAGGGTGTGTGTGTGTGTGTGTGTGTGTGTGAGAGAGAGAGACAGAAATTCTTCAATATGCATTGTGAGCTGCTGGTGGACAGAAGCTTTTTCTTGCAGCAACTTAAACATATTTATGTGTGACTTATTATGTGAATGTAAGTATATAACCTCAACCTGGTAAGGACTTAGGTAAATGCATGCTATAAAAATCAGGAGCCCCTCTTGGTGGTCTTACAAAGACCTCTGTGTGTGTGGTCTTCCTACAACAAACTGGGGAATGGGCTGGGAGGTGGGGCCTTGACCTTGACCTGGCCCACAACCTGCCCTTGTGCTCAGAATGCAGTGGCAGCAGGTGCTGGGCTTCAGGTTCAGGATCATGTAGCTACTCCCTGTCCTTTTAAGACCCTCCCCCCACTTCAAGGGGGAAAAGCCCCTCAGCAACAATGTGCTGTGCTAGGCGTTCTAGAGGTGGGGGACCGTCTTTGGTAATGTGAACATATAACCCTGGAATAACAGAAATGTTCACATTTCAACCCAGGGGGTCTATAACAGTCAGCTCAGAAGGTGGAGTGGATGCAGCTTCACTGGCCAGGCCCAAGTTCCAGTCTAGACCTGATAGCCACTTGGCTCCTAAGTGCTTGTTTCTATGATCAACCTTCCCATCAATTAATTACACATAGCTCTTCTTTACACAATAACTGTAGCCAGATGGGCTTAGTCACTGGGACCAACATTGTTTGTACTCTTCCCAGAAATTTGTTTTCTTGTTTAGCAGAAGGCTCTAGACTGCAGTAACCGAGTTGGTCATCGGTGCTGGGAGTGAGGCCATTACTTTTTCAGAGGTAAGCTTTTCCAAGAAGCTGCAGGTTCTTCTGGGAGAAAGGAAAGGCATCGTTTTAAAGATTTTTTAATTTTTATTTTTAAGTAATCTCCACAACCCAGTGTGGGGCTTGAACTCAACCCTGGGACGAAGAGTTGCATCCTCTACCAACTAAGCCAGCTAGACGCCCCAGGAAAGGAATCCTTTTAGAACCTGGCCAGAGCAGGTGAATGCTAAGGCCTTGTAGGGCCGCGACATGTGCGCCTTCAGCTCTGTGTGACCACTGGGCAAGCTGCCAGCGTGCATCTATTCCCGGGCAAATGGACCTGCTAAAAATAAGCAGGCAGCTATTTAATTCTAGCAGATTCAAAATAGCCACCTCTCCTCCCCACCACCCCGTGCACAGCTCTGCATCCTTCTGCAAGGCTTTCCTCTGGCTTGCCCGAGTGTCTGGGGCCTCTGGAGGGGGAGGCCTTGCGGGGAGAAGGCTGCCTGCAGTTAGCTTGTGAGTGCGAAGGCTTTTAGACCTGCAGTGTTAAATGCCACTTATGTCTTGAGAAGTTCAGCTTTTTTACAGAAAACAACAAAATCAAACTAGGGCAAAGAGAGCAACTCAAGAGTCCATTCCCAGAAAAGGAAGGGTAGCAGAGAGCCTTGCAAGGCTGAAGTGTGCACACTTGTGCGTGTGGGCATATGTGTGTGTGCACACGTGGAGGCGGCCCTGTCTGGAGTTCAGGCGCAGTTGGTGTGTCTTCCAGCACCTGTCTAGGCCTATCCGACTGTGTAAAGCAGGGAAAATGGCATCGTCCTGATTCACAAGAAACCGTTTGAGGTGAGATTGGCTCACAGAAGAGTCTGTGAAGGGCCGAAGGAAATGAGAACTTCTTTTGCCTGGTGGGAAGTGAGGGCTTTGGTCACCTGGCACTCTCTGTGAGGCGCCTTCAGTGAGTCCCAGCTAGGCTCCTCTGGGTGGGGTGGCTCTGTCTTGGTGGAGATGGTGAAAGTCTGTAATCACAGTACCCTGGTGGCAAGGGAAAGATAAACAAGGTGTGCCTTCTCCTGTCTGGGGATATCCCACCTCTTTTCTCAAGTTGTCCGAGCACTGCAGTTGGGCAGGGCCTGTCCTTGGAGGTCTTCGTGGAGAGAAGAGCTTTTCCTGGAGGAGCAGGGATACTGGGTCCGATGGGGAGGGGGAGGTAGTGGTGGACGCTGGGGATGCAGGTGGGGTATTCAATATTCATGGATTGTGTGACATGGCCTCAGGGGACCAGTGTTAAACACCTTCAGGGGAGTCCTCCTGACACAACAGCAGGAGGCATCTCGCTTGGAAATGGTGCAGAAACTTTCCTGAGCTGTGATCAGTTGAATAGTGATAGTTGACTGTCTGGGGGGAGCTGTGGATGGTGGCTTGGGGTCTCGGCCCCTGTCGGTGGAACAGTGGGACAGGGAGGGCTAGGTGTGTCAGCGGTAGAGATGTCCTGGCAAGCTGCAGAGCAGTGTTGTGTCCCCAGGCGACTGTCTCTGTGTTTAGTGTAAGCCAGGACTGGGAACAGAAGGGACAGTGACATGGGGGGGCCAGGGTGTGGGTGGTGATGTGGATCAACTAGGGTGCCAGGCCAGAGGCAGGCTGAGACGGTATGCTTGAACGAGGGCCTCTGCCTTACAGCCAGTCCCTGGGACCTCCGGAGGTGGGGTGGGGGTCAGCTGCTGGACCCTGGGATCAACTTCTAGTACTAAAGGGCAGGGGGCTTCTCTCAGAGAGAGCACATGCAAGCACATGAGCAGGATGTGGGGCAGAGAGAGAGAGAATGCCAAGCAGGCTCTGCTGACTCAGGGCTCAATCCCATGAACTGTGAGACCGTGCCCTGAGCTGAAATCAAGAGTCAGACGCTTAACTAAGCCACCCAGGCGCCCCTCCCAGCTGCTTTGAGAGGCAGTTTGTATCTTGGTTAGCAACTCCCTCCTTACACACATGCCTGTGTTGAGTTTGGCCTTGGGCCCTTGATCTGTAAAACAGGGAGACTGCCCTCTGTGGGTGGTTAAGTCTTAGGATTCTTTATCTTCGTCTCTACCCTGTTCCATGGAATCTTGTTCCTGAGGTCAGAGAATTGGTAGAAGAACCACAACTGTGGGAATCACAACTATAAACCCTGTTGAAATGGGATTATCTAGTTCAGGAATCCAAATCTAAATTGACTACCAAGAAGAGAACCTGGGTTCACACCCCAGCCACACTTCCTGTGGCATGTGACCTATTGGGTGGGACTGGTCTGACAGTAGGCCATGTGGTAAGCATCCTGCCTTATCCTGAGAGTATCTTGCCCCCATACCCTCTATTCCTTCTCAGATTTTACTTATTTTTATATGGAAGACATTGAATACAAAACAAATAGCCTGTGTGTAATTTGCCACTTTTTCAGGAGTGTGCACAATGCTCCAGAACAGTGGTTCTCTGACTTGAGTGTACATTGGAATCACCTGGGTTAAAACAACAACACCTGGTGCCCTGGTCTCACCTCAGATATTCTGATTGGGGTGCGATCTTGGCCTGGGAATTTTAAAAGCTTCCCAAGTGATCCTAATGGGCCACTAAGTTGGAGAACCACTGAGAGAAATTTCAAAATCTCTCTCCTCGGAAGGAAGAAGTAAAGAGTATATTGGCAGGTAAGGAAAAAAACGAAAAACTATTGGAACTAATAAGAGATTGATAAGGTTGTAGGATGCAGGATCAGTGTGCAAAACCTTTGCCTCTCCTCCAGCCGAGAGGCTTGGCGTGTGTCTTTCCTGGTTTGCCTAAAGGGTTATACAGGTGCAGATGGCACCCACATGGTGGTACCCCGGTTTTGGCTTCTGTGCCACAGCGGTTTCTCCATGTCCATATGCGGGATCCCTTCTCTGTCACTGGCATGCCCATGGATTCTGCAGTGCGTTTAGCAGTGTTTCCCCGTATGGGGATGCCCCAGTGAGCAGAATATAGACCTCTGTGCAGAGCTGTTTTTATTCTCTTTTTTTTTTTAAAGAGAAAATTGCAGGGGGCACCTAGGTGGCTCAGTTGGTTAAACATCTGATTCTTGATTTTGGCTCAGGTCCTGATCTCACGATGTGAGAGATTGAGCCCCGTGTCAGGCTCCGTGCTGACAGCGCAGAGCCTGCTTGGGATTCTCTCTTCCCCTCTCTCTGCCTGCATGCTCACACACACGGTCTCTCTCAAAAATAAATAAACTTAAAAAAAATATATCGCAGGTGTCATAGGTCATAGGAGGTATGGTCATAACCTTTTTTTTTAATGTTATTTACATTTTACAGAGAGACAGTGCTTGAGCAGGGGAGGGGCAGAGAGAGAGATGGAGACAGAATCTGAAATAGCCTCAAGGCTCTGAGCTGTCAGCACAGAGTCCGATGGAGGGCTCAAACTCCCCAACTGTGAGATCATGACCTGAGCTGAAAACCAGAGTCAGCCGCTTAACCAGTTGAGCCCCTAAGTTTTTATTTATTTAATCTCTACACTCTACATGGGGCTCGATCTCACAGCCCTGAGATCAAGAGTAGCATGCTCCACCAACTGAGCCAGCCAGGCACCCCTACACTGAGCTATTTTAACCTTGATGATGGCAATACATTCCAAACCAGGTGGTTGAAGACTAAGTGATGCAAGGGATAGCATCTAGTGAGGTTCTGTGTTTGAATGTGAAGCTGTATGAGCATCATTGAAGTTTCTGCTTAGAGGGATTCATGGGGTCTTCTGAGTGTGGCCACTGCTTAGCTTCTGCTTTGTGTTTTCCAATCTTATGGATTCACTTTCAAATATTAGCAAGGTTTATGGTTTTCCCTACCCCCTCACTTTGGGGCTGAAGGTGTTTCCCAGTGTTTCTTCACAAACTCTAATGTGTTTGTGAATCCCCTGGGGGTCTTGTTAAAAATGCAGCTAGTGATTCAGGCCTGAGCTGGGGCTGTGTTTCTAGCAGGCTCCCAGGTGGTGCTCTGTGCGTCTGGCCTATAGACCGCACTTGGAGAAGTCAGGTCCTCCAGCAGTGGCTCCCAGCCTCCACTGAACTTTAGAACCACCTGGGAACTATGTGCTCTGGTTTTGCCAAAGACCATTAACATCATTAAACCAGGAAGAGTTGTTGAAACGTTTACATTTATCTCTACAACAAAGCTTAACCCCAAATTAAGGTATAATTCACCATGTCAAGGGAGGAGATTTGGTTTTAAGACGACGTATGATTTTTGCAGACAGAATGAAATTTACTGGCATGGGAGGTACTGAATTACAAGCATTCTGGAATAAGTCTGTCATATACCTCTAAAGAGAGCTAACCCTGCTTTGCGTAGCCCTTAATACATAGCTAATCCTCATATCAGCCATCCTTTATAAAATGTATCCCCATCTTACGGTGAAGAAAACCGAGGCTCCTGTATCCTTTACATATCCACCACCTCCTTCTATCTAGGCCGTTATCATTTCTCTGGGCCTGGATCCAATGGACTCAGGTCTCCAGGTTTCTGTCACTTGATACGCTGTTCATCCTCCTCCCAGAATCACCTGGTAACACAGTTTGGTGTATGTGCTTTGCAGACCTCTGCTGGTTCTCTGTTGCCCACAGGATAAAGTCCAGACTCCACTGTGAGGCCCCAGAACCCTCATCGAGGCCACTAAACAACTTGATTCTTCAAGCATGACCTGTGTCTCCACGCCTCTGTATGTTTTGCTGGTCTCTTACCCTGGAGCACCCCTCATCCTTTTGAGATCATATTCATCCTTTGCTCCTGCTCTCTTGCTGTGTAATGGTTTCGTTAACTCATGATTTTGTGGGTGCCTGTGAGGGACATGTGGATTTCACAGGCATTTAAAAATATTCCAATATCATCCGAATAGATAAGTGTTCTGGGAGTTCAGAGAACTGAAACATTAAACACAGTATCCCCTTGGGGGAGCATAGAATTTGGCATTGAGAAGTGATGAAGGAAGGGATTTGGGTCCAAGGCAAGGCTCGTCTTGTTTCAAGGGAGTGCGATATGGAGGAGGGAGCAGACAGGGGCGTCTCTCCCTGCCCAACCCCCTCCGGTGGATCCCACATAGGGTGCGAGCTGGAGGAGGCAGGGAAAGGGTGAGAGAACAGTTGATTGTGTTTCCTGTGCAGTGGTGTCAGGATCCCCCTGCCTGGCTCTCATCGCATCCCTCTCTCCTCATCTGCAGGTATCATTTCTTCAGGCCTCCAGGATGGCCATCCAGTTCCGTTCACTCTTCCCCTTGGCGTTGCCTGGAATGCTAGCACTTCTCGGCTGGTGGTGGTTTTTCTCTCGTAAAAAGCATGTCAGCGGCCAGGACAGACAGGTAGAGGCCAGCGCTGTGGAGCTGAGGGCTGGCCACTCCATCACAGAGCCACTCCCCATGGAGGACTCCTGTCCCAGAGTAGCTTCCACGTCCCCCAGCGCTGTACCGCCAGCGGAAACAGAGCTGTGGCCGGTGAGCAAGCCCCCCGCCGAGCCCCCGGCCTTGCTGCGGGCACATCCAGCCTGTCGCAGGTCAGAGTCCTCAGGCAGCCTTCCTAACAGCACAGATGTGAGATTTCGGCCAGGAACACGCAGAGATGACAGTACAAAGGTGGAATTAGTCCTGACGGGTGATGAAGCCAAGTCCATTCCTCCCGAGTGTCCTCTTCCGACCCCAAGGGGTGTTCCTTTCCCCCACGAAGCAGCCGAGGTGTGCAAGCCAGAGTCCCCATTCAGTGGGCCGCCAGGGCAGGGCCGGCAGGGCCAGGCTGCAACCCCCAGAGAGAAGCCAAGAGAGACCGGTGGGGCGGAAGGCACTGGCGACGCGGTGTCAGGAGAAAACGTGCCAGAAGGGCGTGTGTTGTCCCAGGAGCAGGGCTCTGAATCGCAGACCGACAAGGTGCCTGGCCTTGCTCCCTTGGGAGGCGCCGGGGAGAAGGGGACGGGCCTCCCGCTGCAGGCCGAGGAGGGGGCCGCGGGGACACCACTGAGCAGCCACAGGGAGTCGGCCCACGTGGAGCTGACGGAGGTCTCCGAGCCGTCAGTGCCTCGGGGCAGCGGCACTGCCTGTGAGGCGCCCTGCCCAGGAGAGCTGGGCCACGAGGGTGCCGCGGAGCACGCTGAGGAGATGGAGCAGGCTGCCTACCAGATCGTCTCCAAGGTGATCTCGGAGGCGACCGAAGAGGTGCTGGCCACCACCGTGGGCAGGATCATAGGCCGGCAGTGTCCGGCCTCGGCCACTCAGCGCCACGGGCGGCAGGAGGAGAGCTGCATGCCAGCTTGCCGGGAAACCGCCCTGGGGCCAGATGCTGACAGGCTCGCTCCAGCCTCTGTGGTGGCGGAGGCGGCCTCGGGTGTGCCAGACGCTGCTGCCCCCTCGCCAGGCCCGCCTGCGGAGGACCTGCCGCCACCAAAGACCTACGCCAGCTGCCTGAGCAGCCCTCTGTCCAGCCCCAGCAAGGACAGGAAGCCAAAGAACTCTGCACACCACATCTCCCTGGCCCCCGGCCCACCGCCCCCTGCACCCCAGGGAGAGCTGCTAAATGAGGCACGCGTCCTGGTGGAAGATGCGGGATATGCCACCTGCACCTCTGACAGCAGCCAGGATGTCCCCTCAGTGGTCTCCGAGCAGCGCTCAGATTCCCTCAGCACTACTTCGGGGCTTGAAGACTCGTGTACGGACGCCACCTCAAGCCCCAGGGACAAGGCCGTCATCCCACTGCTGCCAGAAAGTACTGTGCCCTTCAGCAATGGGGTGCTGAAGGGGGAGCTGTCAGACTTGGGCAATGAGGACGGATGGACCGCGGATGCGGAAGCAGATCACTCGGGAGGTAGGAGGGTCTTGGGCGCGCCTCACCTGGAGGACGGGGTGGCAGGGCCTCCGCTTGGCTGGCAAAGGCTGCTGGTCTGCCTCCCCCTCTGCTGCTGCTGCTGCAGTAAGAATGCGCTCCAACCTTGAGCCAGCTGGCCTGCAGAAGGTTGGGCTGCCCTGAGCCCCCCAGCACCTTGGGAGCTTGGTTCCCCAGCCAGGGACTCCCCCTAGTCCTGAAGGAGCCAGCTCAGAGTTGGGTTTGCTGATCAGCCTCTTTTAACCTGACCTCTTAAAGGTTTCTGTGATGTAGAGGCCTCCCTAGCTTAATTCCAAAGTACCAAGATGGGTGTTAGCTTTTTTTTTTTTTTTTTTGAATGATTGATTTCCTTTTAATCATGTGCTTGTTCCCATGTCTTCACCCGCCTTCCTTCTCCAGAAGCTCTTACCGGGTAAGTGCCCAGAGAGCGGCCCCAGCTCGGCTCTCACGGGAGGCTCTTGCTTTCCTGCCTCACTGTCACCACTATTCCTCCGCAGAGAGCCCTCCGCCGTTTCCTTTCCGTGCGGCTGCTGTTCCACCCCCGGGAAAGAGGGGCACTTTGGTAACCAAGTGTCCACTGGGTTTTTCGAATGCTGACCCCCGCGTAGACAGTTCAGACCGCTAACTGACAGGTCAGCAGCTCCTGACCCTGGTTTTACAGCTACCCTGGGGTATTTTCATTTATCTCAGGGAAAGAGGCCATGGACTCCTGTGGGGGTCTGATTTGCTGGCCTTGGAGCCAGTCCCTACCATCTCTGCTCCAGGAAGGTTGGGGGTCTTTACTGGGAATCTTGCTACTTCCAGCAGTACTTTCATCACAGCACATTTTGTCCCCTTTCAGACACTATTGATTTATGTGCCTCTAAAGGAAAAAAAAACTCATCATGGTGATGATGAGTGTAGAAGGCCAGAGACCGTTAAGATGCATCCTAACTTGAATGCTGTTAAAATGTTCTTTTGTTTGCTTGTTTTTTAATCAAAAAGATCTTAAAATGGGTAAACAAACATTTTTTTAAGAATAGAGGAGTTTCCCTTTATCTGCTGGCCCTCAGCTGAATTAACAGGCCCATTAGCCATGTTATGCCACCTTTAGATTGATGGTGGCAGCTACTCCGGCATAGTGAAGGCCTCGCGTTTAGGCCTCATGGAAGAGAAAGCGGTGATGGAACATGGCAGTGGGTGGGGGGTGGGGGGCGAGGACAGTGGCTGGGAGCCTGGCAGTAGCGCTCTCCTGGCACTCGGTTGTGCACAGCACAGGCTCCCGCCTCCCCCATGCCTGCATCTTAGTGCGTGGCCCTCCCTGTGCGTGAGGAAGTTGAGGCTGAGGGGGGCTGGCCTGTGAGCACAGCCTGCTAGAGGTCTGTGTGGTCTGAGCCACCTCTGCGGGTCGCTGGGGTGGCGAGTATCAGCCAGTCCTGTTTTGTCCAGGAGAGGCTAGGGCCCCTGATGTTGAAGGATGAGGCCACTTTGAAGGTGACTCTTCCTTAGCTGGGAATGGAGTCTCTTTTAAGCCTTACTCTGCATCCAGACAGTACGTGCATTGCTTGGCAAAGGATTATGTCCAGAGTTTGGAGAAACCATGTGGAGAATAACCTAATTAGTAGACTCTCAGGAGCGATCTATTTCTGGCAGTTAAGTCGTCCATATTTAAGCCAGAGTCCTTTCTCTTAAGCTGGCCTGGACCCATTTTTCTGGGATGGCCTCCCGGCACATTCTTGAACAAGAGTGGAGCAGACGGCATTGATCTCAGGGTCATGCTTCCTGTTCTGTTGTCTGGGGCATGAACTTCAGTCTTTTGACCAGACCCACCATGAGCCCAGAAGAGCATTCAGAGTTGCCCAAGTTAGGCCCAAGCAGAGGGAAAGGAGAGTTGCCCCTCCTCCATCTACTTCCAGTAGGGCCCAGGTGGTAGAGGATAAGAATGGGGCCCTCAGGCCAGCCAGGGTGCAGTCTTTCTAGCTCTGCTTGACTGAAGGTCATGGCCCTTGAGCCCAGGCCTGAGACCTTGGGGGCCTTAGGGTCCCGTGGTCTGAGGGGCTGGCATGGTCAGAAGACATGGGCCGGTTGTGACTGGTCGGTCTCCTCGGAGGCCGGCACCTGATACCCGGCGCCTGGGACCATGCAGACCCGCCGGCTGGCCCCCCGCCCTGTGGACCCCCCCTTCCCAGCTCACCGCTTGTCTCTGCGCCCGCAGCTGTGGCTGGGCGTGGCTACCGCTTCAGCTAGCGGGGCTATGAGCAGCAAGCTAAAATTAGGCGTCTCTACACCCCCAGTCCTCCTTTCATTGGGGTCGTCCAGAGCCTTCCAGACGGCGGGTGACAGTCACCCGCCAAGCTTGAGGAGGGGGCGTGGGGTGGGGGGCTCCTGGGAATGCAGGTGCGGACTTCCCTTAGCCGGCGTCTGTGTGTGCCACTTTCTCCCCTGCAGGATCGGACAGGAACAGCATGGACTCAGTGGACGGTTGCTGTGGCCCCAGGAAGACTGATGGTTTCCAGAGCGCCCAGGCAGGCTCCAGTCCTAAGAAGGTCGATCTCATCATCTGGGAGATCGAGGTGCCAAAGGTAAGGGCTGCAGGGTCACTGGGATGAGGGGGAGGCACAGTAACCCAGAAGCAGCCCCTGAGTGAGCCAGAGGCTGGAAGGGAAAAGGAGAGCACCCTCTGCCAAGCTTCAGAGAGTTTTCCGGGGGTCGGAATGCTGTTCTTGTCCGCTCCAGACTCACAGGCTGCTCACTTCTCTGGGGCTGCCCTGTGTGTTCAGGGGCTCAGCACTGTTCCGAGATGCCAATAAAAGCCAGCCCGAGGACATGGGCCAGGCGGGAATCCCTCTACTGTGCTCTGCTCAAGCTCTCCAGCACAGAGTAGATTTGATAATTGAGCACAGCGTAAATCCATATTTCAGAGCGCTTGAAAAGTATAGAAATGTATGAAGAAAATAACAAGCCGTTCTGATCTCACCCCCGAGAGTGACTATGAAGACTTTTATTTCCCTCTTGTCTTGCACCCTGTGGTTTTTAAACAAAACTGAGATTATGTTGCTTTAATTAATGCTTTTAAATATTTAACAATTTAATTTTCCTGTGTTATTCTTTGAAAATATAATTTTAACTGCATTATTCATTGTGTGAATGTCAATTTACTTCACCGGTCCGCAAATCCAGGGTGCTTAAGTGGTTTCTAGCTTCTTGCTGTTCTAACTTACGATTTATTAGCTCGATCGTGATGCTTATTGCCGGGACTCAGAAATAATTGGCCAGCTGAATTCTCCCAGGCACTTAGCTCCCTGCCGCTGTGGAGACTTGGCTTGGCTTGAACTCTGGGTCAGGCGGGCTGCTTTGACCCCAGGGTGCTGGCTCCCGCGGTGTTTTCTCCCGCCGTGACCCTGATAGCAATGCTGCCCTCTTCTTTGGTGGTGGCAAAGGCCCTCCCCGCCCCCCCCCCACCTCTGGGCGGCTCTGCATGCGGAGCGACCATGTCCCTTGCGGCTCCGCTGGGGTGGGGTCGTCTGGGATCGTCTCCGAGCTTGCCTTACATCATGGCTAAGTTTGGCTGCTTCTGTCTTCCTTGAACTCTTGGCACGTGGGGCGTTTCTGCAGGCCTCTTACTCCGGAGGCTCCAGCCTGCTATCATTTGGCAGCAGAAGCCCACGGGCTCTTTAGACTTTAACTTTCAAATGGAGCCTCTATCTTTGAAGCCAGATAGACTTGAAGAGGTCAGAGGAGTCGTAAATCAGCCCTTGTTGTGGTGAAACCTCTCCTAGTGTAGATTTGGGAGGAGAATATGCTGGCCTAGCAGCTTTCTGAATGTGGGCCAGGTTGTCGGGCAAAGAAGTGGGACCTGCTAGGTCCTGGGGCCAGACTGTGTAGTGCAGCTGCTTAGTAGCTGTGTGATAGTGGGTGAGTTACTTAGCCTCTCTGAGCTTGTTAATTTATAAAACAGTGATAAAGGGGTCTGTTTCACAGGTAAGTGCTTAGAGCAGTGCCTGGCAAATGAGTGCTGGCATATTGACCGTTACTCTGTTTGAACTTGACCCTGTGTAAAACAAAAGTAGGTCTTTGGGACCGTTGGGAATTAACACCCCATTAACACCCCCAGTTGTCTCTTTGTCTCTCTCAGCACTTAGTTGGTCGGCTAATTGGCAAGCAGGGGCGGTACGTGAGTTTTTTGAAGCAGACGTCTGGTGCCAAGATCTACATCTCAACACTGCCTTATACCCAGAACATCCAGATCTGCCACATAGAAGGTCAGTGGCAGCTGCCACCCTGCCTTTAGTTTTCTTGCCTGAAGCGTAAAGGATTTGAGTCCTAGTTCTTCCCCTTTTGGAATCTCCGGCTCCAAATGGAGAGCCCTGGTCATCCCAGGTGATCTTCAGCCCTCCTCTCCAGCTTAGGTGCTGGAAGGGGCCTCTGCTCCCTCCCCTAGATCTTCTGCCAGGAGAGGTGCGAGCACTCGACGGGGAGGCTGGGGGCCCTGGCTTTATAGTGCCCTGCGTCATGCGCCTCCCTCACAGAGCAGAACGGGATTCCCCTCCCGTCAGTGAGGGCTGGCCTTTCCCATCTGCTAGCCTCCTGTTGCATTCAAAGCATGGATACAGTGGCAGAGGTGCCATTTGAAAGGTCAGTGGGTTTCAAGCCTCTGTAGATGCTTTCCTTCTTAAGGCAGAACTTAGCTGTTTGGCACCTTCAAGATTTACTTGAGCTCTAGGAAAGTCTTGTGGAGCGGGCTGTGTGTGTGAGTGAGTTTGTTTGGTGGTTTGTCCTACCCACGGTGGCTCTCCTCTTACCCCCATCTAGGCTCCCAGCATCATGTAGACAAGGCGCTGAACCTGATCGGAAAGAAGTTCAAAGAACTGAACCTCACCAACATCTATGCTCCCCCACTGCCGTCCCTGGCCCTGCCTTCTCTTCCGATGACTTCCTGGGTGAGCATGCACCTGGGGGACCAGCTCCTCTTGCCTCTTTTTCACCTCAACTGCTACCAAGCCAGACGTGCCTCCATCCCCAGTTGGAGGGCTGGTTCTCCTTGAGCTCTGCTGTGCTGGCACCTGTTGTATTTTTAAGGCATTTGCCTAGAAAGGATTCTAGTGTACACAGGAGATGGGGTGCCCCCGGCTGGCGTGCATGTCCTTAAGCTGGTGCTGTGTGCAGAGTCACAGCCTAACCTCTCTGAGGACTGGGGTGGGACCCACCATTGTGGGCTTGGCTGGGCTTGTAATGGGTCCTTGTGTTCCTTGCTCCAAGTTGAGCCGGGCCTAGTGGTGGCCCTGGTGAAGGATTCCCTTTCCCTTCCTTCTCATGGGAGGGACCTAGATTATAAAGGAGAAGAAATTCTCCCCACCAGGCTGTGGGATCCTGGAGACTCTTCGAAGGTTGACCCTAGAGTTTGGCAGGAGGGAAGCTGACGTCTTAGGGCCTCTGTGTGCTGGAGGCTGGGGGGATCCTGGGGCCTGTCACTCGGATCCTCCAACGTGCCTCCAGCTCTGTCGAGCCTCATCTCACTGGTAGAAGAATTGTAGGGCTCTGTAGGCCAAACGACTACTGCATTTCACACATGGGCTGAATGTGCTGCTGCAAGAAAATGGCCTCCCTAGGTTTTGTTTGTGATGGTTGACTTCTCCTAGCCGGTCCAAAGACCCCCATGCCGTGGGTGGAGGGGATGGAGGTGCTGTTATTTTCCTGTGGGTATTTGGGAGTGGGTTGGCCCCTCTCTGTCCTTTACTAATAATGAGTCAGGAGTTTTCCCCAGCAGACTCGGACCAGCCCCACTTTAAAATTTAAATAACTGAGCAGTTGTTAGGGCCTCCTCCACTGTGCTCTGTGTGAAGAGGAGAGCCTGGATGTCTTTCAGCCCGCAGCACTCGCGGGGAGGTAGGGAAGTCGGAACTCTTAGCTAGAGGCCTGGCCACCTGACTGGAAGACAGACTAGACATCTTTCTGTGTCCAGGCTACCTAGATGTTGCCTGTAACTTGGCATCAGGAAAACTAGTGTCCAGGGCCAAGTCTTTGAGACTGATCTTAGCCTCTGCGAGGGCCTATACTGTGGGGCCTGGCCGCTGGGCTCATCTGCGTTCCAGCTTGCAGTGGGAACGAGTTGGGAGGGTGTCTGTGGAGAGCATAGAGGAAGAGACTGTAGGACTCAGACTGTGGGTCTTTGCTGGCAGGAAAACAGAGAGACATGCTGTCAAACGGGACGCTCCTGGGGTCCTCCGCAGGCCCACGTATGCTGGCCGAGGCGCCTGAGGGCCTGCCCACCTCTGTGCCCTGGTAGCTTGTTCTCAGTAGCGCCTCATCCCCTTGCCTTCGCTGGTGCTCCAGTCTCCTCAAGCGTGGTGAGGGGAGCGGAGGCTCTGACACCTGGAGCCTGCCCCGGCCCCTGCACTACAGCTAGGCTGCCTCCTCCCACCCAGCCCTGAGGCGAGGCCGCCTCTAGTGGTTACTGTCGGCATCGCAGGACAAGGTGTCCCACTTTCCACAGCTGACGTAGTTTTCCTTGACCTCCTGCCATTTGGGTGCCATGTTGCTTTGGGTTGCTAAGCCCTTTTCAAAGACTTGCCAGTTCAGAGACTTGCCCTGGGGCCTCAGGGCTTCTACCCCAAACCCCAGGAGGATTGCTGCAGCGCCTGCTGCCCCTTCTCCTCCACAGCTCATGCTCCCCGATGGCGTGACCGTGGAGGTGATCGTGGTCAACCAGGTCAACGCTGGGCACTTGTTTGTGCAGCAGCACACGCACCCTACCTTCCATGCACTGCGGAGCCTGGACCAGCAGATGTACCTATGCTACTCCCAGCCCGGAATCCCCACCTTGCCCACCCCAGTGGAAAGTAAGTGCTGCCTTGGGGTCAACGGTGAGCCCTGGGCTCCGGCCAGGCCATGGGGATAGGTTTTGGGGGTGGCCTGTTCTGCCCTTGGTCTTGACCCAGGAGGAGGCTGTTCTGGGATCCTTCATGGGAACAGCATCCCTGAGGGCTTGCCAACAGCATGGAGTCACTGCGGGCTGGCTTATTAGCTAGCCCGATGGAAGTGGCCTTCCCACTGGCCGACGGGCCTGTGTGGTTGGAGTAGAGTTTTAACACACGAGTTCTAGCTCTGCCATGTATCTGCTGAACGGGGCTGATGCCAGCCTGTCCCAGGAATCAGGGGTGGGTTGTTCTGTGTTAAGTACCTGATCCAGATGGTAGATCTCCTAGAAGCTCCTGGTGAGCAAGAGGCCTCCATGGTGGGTTGTCTCATCTCCATTTGACAGGTGAGAAAACTGAGCCTCTGAAGTCGAATGACTCGCCCTGGTAACACTTGAGCAAGAACTGGGGTCTAAACTCAACTTGTAGTCTTGAGTCTCTCCTTTGTCACTGTTGTTGCCCGTGTTGGCAAGAACCCAAGCCAGAACATCCCTTCACCTGTTGCTGTCAGGGACTCCTAACTCAGAGCACCCTGAGGGGCTTCAAGGCATTAGAGACACCCGTGAAGTCACCTAGGTCACAGAAATAAGGGATTTAATTTTCCCCAGAGTCTCTACTGTTGCCTCAATCCAGTAGTGAAGACCAGACTGGGATCTAAGTGACTATACCAGGGGTTCCCTTTAAGGGTCAAGGTCAGGACTCAGTGTGCAGCCTGCGGTTCCGTCTGTTCTGGCCCTGCTGCTACAGGCCGGGGTTGGTGACTGCTGGCTGCCAGGGACACGTGTGCTCTGAGCACCTTCCTGAAGCAAAGGCTAGAAGAAGTGGACTTCAGCCTGCAGGTCCCCTTCTGATCAACTTCTGAGTCATCACGGGCCAGAACAGGCCCTAAACACCAGGCCAGTGAGACCTGCCGCATTTAGAGGTTCTTGATTCTTTCTGGGACGTTCCCTTAAGAATGTAAATCCCCATTCCCTGAGTTTTAGGTTTTACTTGGTTTCTTCTGGCCAGTCCTTATCTCAGGCTCTGGAAGAATGCGTTTTGGTCTGCAGGAGAGCTCTTTGGGTGGCATATGTGGGAGGCCAGATTTCCCACATCTAGGTCCTTCCCTTGGCCAGTCTCGGGCTCCAGGGAGGCTGTGGGGGCTTCTTGCCATTCTTCTGCCCCGTGGGGACATAGGACTCGGAGAAGTAATATGGGGAGGTGGGTAGCACTGACCAGGGTGACCCTTGGTGCCCTGTCCTATGCCAGGATTGTCCACATGCTCTCTTCATGCCCCGCAGTCACGGTCATCTGCGCTGCCCCCGGCCTGGACGGCGCCTGGTGGAGAGCCCAAGTGGTGGCCTCCTACGAGGAGAGCAATGAGGTGGAGATTCGCTACGTGGACTATGGTGGATATAAGAGAGTGAAAGTGGACACGCTCCGGCAGATACGGTGGGTCCACACTCCCTCAGACGAGCACATGACATGCACGTCAGAGGCTGTGTGATCTCTGCAGAACTGCGCAGCTGTACCAAGCCTGGGACGGAGGCTGACCCTCCTGCGGCCTGCTCTGGTTTGGCAGGTCTGATGATAACTGACTGCACTGCTTGCCTCAGTCAAACTGAGCTAGAAAGGCCTGTCCTGGGGAGGAGGTCCCCCTGAGCATCATGGGGCAGAAGTGAAGCAGCTTCTCTTTGGGAGTTGGATGCGAGCAGTCCCTCTGAGGTTGGGCTGCAGCAGGGTGGTGGCCTTCGTCCAGGTGTGCCTGAGGCCGCAGCCTCCTGCCCATCGTAGAGGCCTCTGCTTCACTTTGTCCTGGGTCGCAGGGGGCTAATACCACTAAGCAGAAGATCAGTATTGGCCTGAAGTGGAGTCAGCCTTCAGGTTCATAAACAATGTTTTCCTTACCTTTCTAGGTCTGACTTTGTGACCCTGCCATTCCAGGGAGCAGAGGTCCTTCTGGACAGCGTGATGCCCTTGTCAGGTAACGGACGGGGCCTCCGGCTTGGTGGGAACAATTGTTGAGAGTAGGTCTTTCCCTTTGAGCACATTCCTTTGCACCGGGAGGGCTTATGCTAATACAGATCATGGCCTCTGATGGAGTTCCTGATTGAGGAATAGGTCTGGCCAAGGCCCAAGGATGTGCATCTCTAACAAGTACTCAGGTGATGCTGCTGCCGCTGACCCTGAACCCCCTTTTCAGAACCACCGTTGTGGACTTTACCCAGGCCTCTGACTTAGGAGGTTGTAAACATAGGCACCTTACAGAACATAGTTGAGACCCAGAGTCCTAGCATGTGTGGTGGAGGGCAGGCACTGAGGGCACAGCACTGGTTGGCTGGGCCCTGCGGGACCACTGAGCTGTGTGGGATCTTAGACTAACCGCATCCCCGAGGGTAGGGGCCTAGCAGAGTGGCCCTGGGCAAGTTAGTTAGCCTTGCCATTTTTTTTTTTTTTTAACCCTCTAGAAAATGAGATAGTACCTGTCCTTCAGGGCAGCTGAGGAAATTACATGAACCCAGGAAGTGCTGTGTGGACAGTGGTCAAGTTGTAGCTGTCGATGACCAGCACATTTCCTATTTGTAGGAAACAACCGGTCTGATTATCCCACACTCTTCTAATCTTGTTCTTGTCCAAAGCAGTGAAGTACATTCGAGGCACTACAGTCCCTCCAGAGGCCTGTCAGCCAGCGTGCTGGACAAGGGCCTCTGTCTCCTTTCCTTCGCTGCTCTGTCCAGCGTTCGTCTCCATTTCTGACATCATCTCCGCAGTCCCGCCCAGCTGACACGCCCCTCCGTCATGGGGCATTCCGCACCTTCTGAACTTACCGCCTCTTGCCTTGGCTGTGTCCTCGTACATAACTTTATAATCTGACAACGAGGGCTGCCTCTGTGGCCTGCTGCTTAGATCTGAGGCCTACCTTCAGCACTCCGGGAGCTGGTGGACCTGCAGCCACCACCTTAGTCTCTCTGTTCCCACCTGGAAAGTGGGGATAACATCGCCTTCATAGGGTGTTGCTCCTTCAGTGGAAGAAGATCTATAACGTTCTCGCCCGCTCAGCACCCAGACGGGTGGTGGTGGCGGCGGCAGTGTCCCCACTGAAGGCGGAGTTTCTGTCCCTGGGGCCCCGCCTGCAGTGGGTGGCAGGTAGCAGAGACACCGTGCATGTGCCCTTGGAACGCAGCGGAGGCCTGGCCTTGCTCCTGTCATAGGTGGCTCTTCCAGATGCGGGTCTCCCGTGCCCGGCAGCATCTGAGGCGTCTTAGAAAAGCCCTGGAAGCTGTAAGTCACTGGAGTGCTTTGCCCCGGTGAAGGCCTACATGCTGCTTTTCTCTTTCCCTCTAAAGATGATGAGCACTTCTCACCTGAGGCCGATGCAGCCATGAGCGAGATGACAGGAAACACAGCGCTGCTAGCTCAGGTGTGTGGGCGGGTGGGGGGCGGGGCTCGAGCCGCCTGGGGTCCCTGTAAGTTGCTGCCTGCCTGGCTGGGGCTCCAGTGCCTCCTGGCCTCTCTCATCCACGATCTTGGGTTCCTGGGAACTGACCTTTGAATTCCTTTCTCCTTTGTGACTTGGACCCTGCCTCATGGAAAGGTGCGTGGGGGTAGTAGCTTTTAAACACACTTGCTTTTTTTTCTGTTTTTCTAGGTGACAAGTTACAGTCCGACTGGCCTTCCTCTGATTCAGCTATGGAGTGTGGTTGGAAACGAAGTAAGTTCTGTTCTTTTCCTTCAAGCTGCTGGCCAGCCGTCATGGCTTGATTTGGGGCCGATCCTGCTGTGGCCTCCTCTGGAGATAGTCAGAAAGTCTAGGCCAGTGCCACCCTCGGGGACCCTAGGATGTCGGGAGAGATTTTGTGGCCACAGTTGGGGGTGGTGATGTCATCTAGCAGGTGGCGGCCAGGGACGGCCGCTCGGAGTCCTGCCGCACATAGACAGGCCCTACAACAAAATGTCCGCGACCCTTCCTGAACCTCATCCAGACCTTTCTGAACCTTCTGTCCATTGGGTTTTCCACTGCGTTTCATGGTATTAAAACTGCAATTTTATTAGTGTATTGAAAAGCCTGTCGTCCTCGACAGGACATTAAGTAAATGTCCTTGTTGGCCTAGAAGGGTCTCGCCCCCTTGTTACTCTCGGGCCTGTCGTGCCCAGTGGTCGCCTGGGACTGTGAGGGAAAACCCCCGCTGGCTTGAGAAAGGGCCCTGGGGGCGGTGGGCAGAGCTCTCAGGGGAACTTTGTTTTTCAGGCGGTGTTGATAAACCGGTCGCTGGTGGAGCGAGGACTTGCCCAGTGGGTAGACAGCTACTATGCGAGCCTCTGACACCCGTTCCCACCGCCTCCTGAGTCTCTTGCACTGTTGATGTTGGGCTGGGCGCTAAGGCAAAGACTTTACATCAGAATAACAAACGTCATCTTCCCCGGAAAGTTCTCTTTTCTTGTGACGCGTCTCTCAGACAAGGGACCGAGGGCGCTCTCAAAGCCATAGGATGGCGTTGAACACGCTGCTCGGCTGAACGTGGTTCCAAGCCTTTAAAAACAAACAAACAAAAGCCGAAGTAGAAAGGGTGGCAGCCAGGCTGTCCTCACCGCCTGCATTCCGCCGTCCCCCCTGCCTCCCTCGGCAGGACCAGACCACCACGGCCACAGGCCACCGGCCACCCTGTTTGCTTCAGAGGGCTTCTTTTACTTCATGATCTTTCTTCAGGGAGCAAGACGTGAAATCACTGGTGGGTATTGATTACTTGTATAGCTGACGTAAATGAATTTATGGTGTTTAACCAGTTTTTATAAACTTCATCTAGGTCTCTCAGAAGGCAGACTTTTTAATGCATATGTAAATATGAAGCAATCATACCTCTGGCCTTGGTCCCCGGGGTGGGGGAGGGGAGCTGTTATCTTGCCAAGCCTGGTCATAATTTGTAACCATTTTCTATTTGTGCAAACTCTGTAAATATATGTTTAAAAAATGTAATATTTTGTATAAGATACACTGGAGAACAAAGGGAACTCAAGGTTTTTCCACACCCATGTCGTCTGTGAGCAGAAGGTCCTTCTGCGGACTCCGGCCGCCCGCCCGCCCGTCCGGGCCAGCACGTCTGGCGGCTTCCTGGGTGCCGGACAGGGTGGCTGTGTGCCATAGATTGTGATCGGGGCTTTTTTTTTTCCTTTCTGTACAAATTTGTTAAAAAAAAAAAAAAAAAAGAAAAGAAAAGAAAAAAACATTGAATTACCTTAAGTGGTGTGTTTTGATTCTTTTTTAGACTGACTTTAGCTTTGTGCGATTTAAGAAAGTAACTTAAACTTATATAAATCTTGAATTGTATACACTGTAGCTTTGAGTCCATTTCTTCGGGCTGAGAAGGGGCGGGGTGGTTGTGTATAGTGGGCTGGAGCGGCCCATCTAAAGGAGACCCAGGGCTCTTAGGACCTGGGTTAGCCAGAAATTTCCATCCAGCTTTTTCCTCTCCTTGCCCCACAAGGTGGCAGCCACGCTTCCCTTGGCTTCCCTTCGTGAGTGTCTCAGGTAGCCAAGCCTGAGTTTAAGGCACCGGCTTCCACAATTCTTTGGGGATTCTCAGTAGAGGGTTGCAGTTATTTAATGCACTGCAGTGGTGCAGTGGAGCCACCTATGCGCGGAGAGCGGAATGCAGTTTTGATCTAAACGCCCCTCCTCTTAAGGCAAAAGTAGGCCCAGGCCTGTGGCTCGTACCTTTTGGGCCCTTCGGGGCTGTCTGGAGAGCTGAGGCTGCACAGGGCTCTTTCATCCAGAAGGCATCCTCCCATGGAGCTGCGGCCACTCTCCCCGGCTGTGGGTAGTGCATGCTTGGCAGCCTGTTTTCCTCATCCATGGGATCAGCTGCTGGGACCCACCTCAAGGCAATGAAGTAAATGTAAAATCACGGCCATGGCCCAGGGTGAGCTCTCATTCGGTCTCTGCTGCTGGTAGTCCTAAGTCTCAGGTAATTGGTTGTAACGTTGGCCAACTTGGGTCACACCCAGTCTCCACTTTTTCTATACAGTTTACTTCTGGAGCAGAAACCAGTGTGGGGGAGCCTTCAGCTAGTTTGGGGACAGTCACAAAGCCTGGTGTATAGATTTGACCTTCAGCTTTGGGAGCCATTGAGGGGTTTGACTGGAGGGAACCCCATAGTTCTGGTGCCTGGAGGTGGGGAGAGGGTGGCGGGCAAAGGAGACAAAGCCAGGATGGTCCAGACAAGATGGAGGCTTCCAGTGGGACAGGTTGGCCCGACAGGTGATGGGGCAGGAATCCCTTGAGCAAGGCCCCCAGGACGGGGAGGTGGTACAGTGGGGATGAGGAGGTGGGCCACTCAGGTCTTACAGTCTTAGCCTTCGGGGATGGGTCTGTTTAAGGAAGTTTTGGTCTATGCGAGGAAAAGTGAGTTTGGAGGGTGGTGACAGGCATGTACTTTTCGAATAAACCCTTCTCAGATTACAGAGTTCTAAAAAAATTGGCCATTTTGCTGGTAATCTTGTTGCTCTTACAGAGGAGTGGATTGAGGGAGGTCCTTGCTCCCTCATTTGGGACATTGGCCCTCTGGACCAGTGTTATTTTAGACATGTTCTTGATTTTTGTTTAAAGATTTATTTTTGAGAGAATACAAGTGGGGAAGGGGCAGAGAGGGAGACAGAAGTAGACAAAGTAGACTCTACACTGACAGCAGCAAGCCTGCTGCGGGGCTTGAACTCCCAAACTGTGAGATCGTGACCTGAGCCAGTCAGATGCTCAACTGACTGAGCCACCCAGTGCCCCTAGACATGTTCTTTGAATTTGAATCCAGGGGACAGCTTACGTATGAGTGCTAGAGGAAGACTGGGTAGCCTGCTCTGGGGGGGGTGGGGGAGAGGCCAGTTGTCACCACTGGTGTTTATTACAGCCGCTACCCCTCTGACCCTTGGGGCCCTGCTAGGGGTGGCTGATCCTAGTGGGGTGTCAGTATGAGTTCTGGGGTTGCCGCTGCACCCCGTGCACCCTCACGCATGCCATTAGCTATCACAGGAGTGATGGAGAGCTTACTGGGCAGACGCCATACTATTTGGCAAGGAATACTTGGTCCTCGAGACCCCCCCAGTGAGGTGGGGACTGAGCCTGGACATAGATGGTGACTTGAGAAAGCGGTTTGCAGTGGGAGACCTTGAGCCAGGCTGTCCCCCCAAGCCCCAGCTCTGAGACTGCGTGAGGATGAATTGTGCTTTGTGCCACATCCACACATAAAGGCTACACTCGCTAAATCCTCAGCCCGCAGACAAGTTTTGCAACTTAAGGATGGGAAAACACCACAATAGGAGGTACTCACTCAGTCGTTTGGCTTGTATGAGAAATTAAAATTTAGGAAACGTAAATAAAGTCAGGAATTACATGCAGCATTGAGGCCAGAGTGAACATTTTGAATCTTTGATGATCCGAAAAGGAAAGAACTCTCCACCGGAAAATGTCCTGTATGGACAGAGAATAGGAAAACTGGATTATTTGTAGATCAGCTGTGTCCAAGAGAAACACGTGAGCCATGTGGGTAATTGAAAGATCTCTAGGAGATCAATAAAAAAAAAAAAAAAAAAGGTGAAATTAATTTTAATAGTTTGCTTAACCCAGCATTTCCACATGTAATGCACATTAGAAATATCGAGATTTTAGTGTTTTCATGCTAAGTCTTTGGAGTCCAGTGTGTGTATTAGGCTTCCAGCCTGTCTTTTCAGACTAAGCACAACTCAGGTGCTTGCTCAGTAGCCACAGGAGGCTGTGGGTTGGGTCCTAGACCATCCCAACGATCATCACTCTACTACTAACTGCCTTGTGTTTGTCCTTATTCAAAACGTTCTAGGTTCTTTTGCACCTATATTTTTCCAGGTGAACTTCAGAATGGTTTTTTTGGGGAGGCAATCAGGGTGAACGTTTTACTGACATTTGGACAAAAAATGCATGTCGTTGGTTTGGTATAAAGTTTTACGTCCTATATTAAATCGAGCTTGTAAATTCTTCGTATCTGTTGTGTTTTTTTATCTTCTCCTTCCAACTTTTTGTTTTGTGTGTATCTCTGTACTTTCCATTTCCAAGAAAAAAAAGTAAAGGAGAGGGTTCTGGTATTGTCTTGTTTTCCTGTTTTTCTTAGCTGGAAACTGGTACCCTGTAAGTAACATTACGTTACTTAGTTTGAAGAAGCTTATGGATGGTATTTTCTATCCGTGTAAAATATCTTTGGTATTTATTCGGCTTGGTGCTTTTTGTTTTAAATTTTGTGTCTTTTTCTGTCATTTCAGCAGGTGGGTGGATGGCTCGTAAACACACTGCTGGAATTTTTTTTTTTTTTAGGGAAATCTATGAAGTCAGTAGGTGAATCTGACTTGTTCATTGTGGTCACTGTCGCAATATAACTTGCCATTTAGTTCATTTCTATTATGTTTTCTAATTTTTATTTATTTTTTTGCTTTCCTCTCTCGCTTGAATCGAATTTATCCCTGTAGTAAAATTAGCATTTTAACATCTTGTTCCTATGTTATCAGTAGATAGGAGTAATTCGTCAGTAACACTGAATTTATATTTCTCTGAATTTCACACGATTAAGGCCTCCTTTCTCCCTAGATAAGAAGAAACTCAGCAGAGAGATTTCTGCCCTTCTTCCTACAAGTGTGCCTGTCCACACTTTCTGTGTCCTGGGTTTTGTTAGAATCCTCTAGAACCCAGGTCAGAATTTCACACAGGCCTCTGTCTCAAGAGTTTTGGAATGGTGACCTCAAAGTTCAGTCACTTTGCCAGGAAACGTTTTGGCCCAACTTTGTTTCACTAGCTTTATGGCTCATTCTTATGCACCTGTTCTTGAGTTCTTGATTCTGATTCCCTTCTGTCTGGAGTATTACTTTGACTTTTTTTGGTTTTGGTTTTCAGAACACCTTGTATGTCTGAACAATTCTATCTTTTTCTCCTGACAACACCAGCAGTCCTTAGGCCAGGCGTCCCTGCTGGAGTGAATGTCTCCTTGCCAAAAATTCTGCCCTCCGCCCCTCCCTGGAGTGGGACCGTGTGTCCTGTGCTCCTGAGCTCGGGCACAGTCAGTGAGCCGACCAGGGGCGGCGTGTGGCCCACGCAGACCCACGTGTTCTCTCCCCCGGCCTAGTCCACACTCCAGGGAGCCGGTGTGAAGACGTGCACAACAGACCTGCAGCCAACCTCCCGGTGGATGTCGGTATGTGAAGCAAGTCTGGCCTAAGTCGCTGAGGTCAAGGTTGTTGTGTTATCCGCAGTCTGTTCTAGCCTGTCCTGATGGATGGTCCCTCGCTCTGGGTCCCTGACGTTTCCTCTGAGGACTCAGAGGCCGCGCCCTCCCCCCACCATGGGGCTGGGGGCAAGTTCCTTGCTCTCTCTGCCCCGGACTCCCCCATCTGTGAGACGTGGAGGTAAATCAGATGAA